GCCTGTCTGTGTATCGACATGTGTGTCTTCCTACTGCCTTCCTGTTGACCTTCTTCCCTCTTGAGCTTGATTATAAATGTACGTGAACATACCCCAGTGGGATCTGGCTCGATCTGTGGCACGTAAATGTTGATGTGAGTTGTGAGTCTGGAGATGTAGCTGGTGACAGCACAGGGGAGCTTCTGCCAAGCAGAGCCCCTTGCAAAACAGCATGGAGGCCTTGTGTTCCCCCACTGGGAACTCTGCATATTGCACTTAAAGGAAAAACCTGTGCTTCTGGCAATTTGATGTGTTGGCGTGCTTTCCATCCTCTCCCGCTGTGTTCGGTTGCCCTTCAAGGCAAAGAATTAAAAAAGATTCCCTGAGTTAAAGTGATGTGATCTGTGCTTGCACAGCACGTGTCTGTGATTTGAGAGGCATGCCAGTGCTATCTCCATTGTCATCTCAATCTGCTCCTTGAACGTCCATGTGATTTTTTACTGTACCTCTACCTTTTTGGGCACCTTTACTGAATTGCATGTGCTCATAGTATTGCAAAAATGTGTAGAATTTGTAACAGCTCCATCAAGACATTTTCGCCTATTCTCCCTATCACAAAACGACATAATTTCAATTTGCTCTTAATAAAGCACTTGTTTGAATGAATTCTGATCCCTATCATTTTTAACTATTAATACAAGAAATCAGTAGAGCACAGATGAGAGCACAGTAGAAGCTGGTGCTGTCAACAAGAGCTCAAAGGCTGCAGAGATAGGGCAGCCCTTCCATCCAGGCACCTCTCCCATTTCAGTTAAAAATCTGAATTTTTTATTTTCAAGGTGACTCCAACTTGTATCCAAAGATAAAATGTATTTTTTCAGAGAGCTGGGGGATTTGGCATTTATCTCCATCAAAGGCAGTACCTTTTACTATTCCCCTTAAAAAATCAATAGGGAGTTCATGGTGCAAAGTGAAGAGAAATCATGCTCAGGCAGGCACCACGCTCTGTACTGGGTTGTTTCCATTCTTGAGGCAGCAGGGAATCTTTGAATAATCAGGGGGAGCTACCTCTGTTTGTTATTGGCATGATGTATTGCAGCCTGTGTAATGAATATAGCTGACTATAATATTTCATAAATATGTGTGTGGATGGCTGCTCACATGAAAAGGGATGGTGTGTGTATTTTGATTTTTGTATTTACGATGCTGAAACCTTTGCTGAGGATGGCTGACAGGACTAATTGCTCTTCTGACTTTTGTTTTTGAAGTTGCAGAATTTCTTTTACTTGTCATGAAATCTCTCTGACTCTGATTGTCTTTTATGTTCAATCTGTTGCAAGTGCCATATGCTTGTGATGGTCAAGCTGCCATTTTTTAGTCATTCTCCAAGCTTTACTCTGTGCTCATGTGAGGTGGTGTGTTCAC